TAACTGCCATTAGATGTTTGAATCTTGTCCACAGAAATCACCACAACATTTAAAACCACTGTGGCCATGTGTTGCAGATAAACAGTAGTTAGTTAGTAAACTAAATAAAACACAGCCTTCACCTGCTCACAACCAATCGTTTTTGTTATAACAATAAATAAAGTGATCTTTTTTTCCTTTAAACTCTTTGAGTCCCAAGGAACGCGTCATACGTTCATAGATTCTTACTTAGAAGCCCAGTGAACGCAAGATGTGCCGATTTTACATCTTTTTTTACTACCCCTTGGGCCTGTGATGCTAAACCCCCTGGGACTCCAAGAGTTAAACTGGTTGAGGCATTGAAGAATGAGTTCACTATATTGGTTTTCATTACTAACATCATGTTATCAAGCAGCACACTATTTTTTACCATGTTGTGTAAAGACTCCTTTATATTAGGCATGTCAAACATGCAGCCCCTTGACAAGCACATCTGCGGCCTGCAATTAATATATGCTGCAATAATTTTTATGAAATGACTTTAATGTCGTGTGTGGCTCTCATGATGTCACAAATGTGACCCATAGCCTCGGGGACCCTCAGTAGGCGTAGTAAATTTTACCTCACCAGGACATCACACAAGTGATAAACACTCGATGACACAAAGTGCCACCACGTGGATGAGGATCACCCGTGGAGAGGTCCCGGAAACCACATTCAGCCATTAGGCCATATTTATGACTGGGCTATACTGCGGCCCCTGGCAAGAGCCGGGGTGGTGCTTCAAAATAACGAAAAATGGCAGCCCACGAGGGGATGACTAGTTAAATAACACAAAATATGTTAATGGGCCTCAGTTTGACATGCTTGCTTTAAATGCCAATGGTGCATCAGGTAGACGATGCTACTCAAATATTTACAGACCAACTGGTCCTTGACGGGAAATATGATCAAAATCATGCCAGCTTCCTTGACTTCCACCAGGAAGCGGATTCAAAGCTAAGACGTTCATGCCGGCAGGCAAGCATCTAGCCACTTTTAAATTATTACACTGAACTGGGACTAAGAAGCATAACAAAGGAGACAAGGGGAACAACATAAACATACATGAAAGATCAGATATTTCGAACACAGCCTTTTTTCAGTACAGATCTCAACAAAAAGAGGGTATTTTGGCCAACAGCGCCAGCATAGGGGGTAACGTAAATAACCCTTGTGCGGGGTCTTTTGGCCAGAATTCTCCGCTGTTATTGTAATTTGTGCGCTGCGAGTAGTTACTGGGGGATCTGGCAGATGCTCAACACTCATGGGAATAGCGAGACGCAAATACAATCAGACAGTTACTAGTGCCATTGGAATATTGAAACTCTTCGCTTGCTGCTGAAGATTTGGTTGGATTGCTTATGTAAGTGTCCCCAAGTGCTATGATGTAGATTCTTAATTCAAAATTGTCATTTGTGCCGGGAAAGGCTCTGACTGAAACTTTTAGAAATGCCTAATGTGCAGTGACGTCAAATTTAATAAACGTAACTTAACACTTTGAAGGTCGAAAGCAGAAAAAGAAGGAGGAGGAGATATATGTTTCCTGTCATTGTCTTAACTGTTAATCTGTAATTTCAATCTTTAATATTAGCATAGTTTTATACACTTAGTTATTAAAACAACACATTTATTTTCTTTATAACACAGTATTCGTTCTTTAAAACTGAATAAAATTAATAAAGCTGTAGCTGAAATTACGTACATACGTATAGTTGACAAATGTAAACAGCAATTAATTAACCAGTTTGTTAATGTGTTAAATATATGAGTTACAGGGAATTATAGTTCATGTGTTGTGTGATACTCTCAGCAGGCAGCTACTTGTTTTGTGAAGAAGGACAGCCACATGAGATAAAACCTGATGGAATGATGATGCTTGTCTCAAACTTCATCAACGTTTTAAACAGTAATAAACAAGAGGTGGCCACAAGGGCAAGAAACAGAAACTCATTATCTCCCCTGACACCCAAAGTGGTAAAACGAAGTGAAGAAGAAGAAGAAACAGTAATGAACATTTTGGTAGGTGCTGAACTGAAATGAATACTTTAGGCAAAAGTATAAAAATAACAAATAAGAATAGTACAGAACTGTAAATCTAAACAAACAAGAAACTCAATTCTTGATAAAGGCGATTATCGTCTTCTTCTTCAGCATTCCTAGCCCTTGAGGTTCATTGCTGCAGATATCACCCGCCTCCATTTATCTCTCTAGCTGGCCTTCTCTTTCCAGTTGGTGCCACCAAGTGTTTGCAGGTCTGTCTGGACATTATCTCTCCATCGTCTTCTTGGTCTACCTCATGGTCTATGACCATTCATCTCCCTTGTGTATACAGTTTTTACTTCTCTGTCATCTCATTCTTTCTATATGCCCCAACCATTTCAGCCTATTAACTCTCATGATGCCAATGATCAAAGGTGATTTAAACAAATTATGAATTTTGCTGTTGCTTCTCACTCTCCATTACCCGCTGTTTGCATCTTTGATAGGTCAAAAGATTTGTCGTAAGGCTTTGTTTTCGAAAACCTGTAATTCTACACTTCTACATGGTTATCCCAGAAAGAAAAATAAAACAAAAACAACAAAAAAATTAGTGAAAAACAAATTACACTTAACCAGAGATAAAGTCAGACACACCACAAATACTTTTACACAAATAAACTATCTTGGTTTTAAAAGCACCAGAGGACTGACTTCACTGCGCAGTATTTGATTGCATGGCACCTCTCCACAGAGTGGCCTGTCACCCCATGAGGGCGTAGCACAAGGTTAAAACTCAACTGCTGCAGCCAAAACCCCTAGTTTGAAGTTTGAACAACGGATCAACATCATGGTACAAGGGTAGTAACCCATAAGTGCTCTGTTCTTCTACTAACTCAAGTCTGAGTCCAAAGAAGCTCAGCAGTGCACAGGCTCTGTAGCACCGGCGAGGATCCTGAAATACTTTAGGTAAATTTTAAACTCCAAATTTTGCCCAGGCAGCGATGTTAGGTTACTCTTTTCTATTTTCAACTGCCAAGGGATTTTTTACGTGCGCAACAATGCACACGGGCGTCCGATCTCACTACCCAGAGACCCGGGGAAATTACTAGAAGTCCAAGTCCACGCGAAAAAATCCCAGCTCTTACCCAGGGATTGAACCCGGAACCTCTAGCACTCGAGGTGGACACCATGTCTCAAGACCATGAAGCCCCCCCCCCCCCCCCCTACAACCCTTAGAGGTCTATCAAACATCTGCACTTGTGAACCAAACAATAAAGTCCAAATCGAACCTGCAAACTTCATAGCTTGAGACAAAGAGCTAAAACACTTCACCACAGAATATATGCTTATATATAAAATATATACTGTACGTGTATATTTGAATAAAACATCCCTAAACCTTATCCTTAAAGTAATGTTGCAAAAAGAAAAAAAAGAAAAATAACATGAAACATAAATATCCCAAAACAATATTTATGTATTACTCATACTGTCACAGTGAACTTATTTTTCTCTTTGCATTCACTGGTTGTAAGCTTCAGCACAAAGCTCTGGTTGTTGGCCCACTTCTGGACTTTATAGTCTTGTTCTAGAACTTAAGTTTTGCATGCTGTCCAGAAGTGAATAAACAACCAAAACTTTTTGCCAGAGTTTACAGCTGGTGAACGTGAAAAAGAAGAAGTTATTAGTTGGATTATTATCTTCACGGCACTCAGGATACATCTAGAGGTGCTAGGATTCCCCCTACCACATATCAGCAGCGCATGGTTAACAATGCTAACCCTATGCTGGTTACGAGGAATTCTTGTATGTCCAGTGTGTTGATCTTTTACTACCAGTTCTGGCACTCTTAGCATGGATGCGGACACACTGCTCCCAAATTTGAAATTGTATCAGTCTCTCTGAAGACTCTAAGAAAAGACAAGATGTATCAGGCATCTCTGTAACTGTGTTGTTACCTTAGAAACAAGGTTTAAAAAAAAAACTAATCTCAAAAACAGACATGGCTGTTCACTGCTAAAATAAGAATGAACGAATTAGTCAAGAATTTACAACAGTGTAAACAGGACAACAAAACAGTTACTAAAAATATATTAATATATTAAAACATGAAAATAAAAAAAACGGCCAAATCAACCATAAATAAGCAATTTAAAACATCTGTTCAATCTGGAATGATTGTTTCACTGCAATGTTTTATTTATGCCATGAACTTATAAATGAGTTCAGAAATTTTCCACTTATTAAAAACTGTCTGTGAAGAAGAACACTGTACAAGTCTTACCACAGCAGAAAGGTAACCATATAAGTGGGTCACTGCTGTCAATCTGATTGGTATAAGGGAAAAACTAAACAACAACAAGCAAATAGGAAACCCGATGAAAATAAACATACATAGACGGTCACAATGTTTGCTTGTTCATAAACAGGTAGCTCCTTTCCAGAACGTTGCTGCCATCACAGCTCTCCTGAAAGAAACTCTGTCCCTCACCACCTCTCCTGCCTTATGCACTTTCTTGCCCATGGTTGACCCCTCTCTTTCCCAGCACAATGCCTGTTCTTTCCAACCATCGCAACATTTCACATGGACAAATTACTGAGTTGCTTTTCTGGTTTCCAGTATGCTTGTTGTCTCAGCTATTGCCGGTCCCAAGCCTGGATGAGAAAAGATGAGGGTTTTTTATGCAGTCAGCTCCCCACCCCTGTGAAAGTTGTTTTGCTTAGAAACTTGCATGGAAGGATGCCATTCCTGTAAGCAGGTGGTGTATGGAGCACAGAGTGCATGTATGATGGCTGTGAATGAAAAATATTTCCTCGTTTTCTATGTACATTTCTTCTGACCGTGCTTCCTAGTTGCTTTTTGTATGTGTTCTGTCATTTTTCTTAAAACAGCAGATCATATTACCATTAATTATAACAACAACTGCTTTTACCAACTATAAAACCGAATCATCTGAATACACCACCCATGCTGCTGAAACTGAGGATCCTGAGATGTATCAACTAAACACCGGAATGTCATCATCCTCCTCTCTACTGTGAGCACTGATGACTGACTGGCAGAAGTCATCCAGGCTGGGCATGTCCTCTTCCAGCTTGAACACTAATGCCTCTACATCACTGAGGTAGTCGGCCACTGTGATGCTGGAGTCCGGGAGCTCATACAGGTTAGCTGCTCTGTACATTGCACTTAAGAAAGATTTTGCATCTCGTGGGTCATCATCAGCAGCAAAGGGGGGTTTCTAGGCAAAAGAAGAAATGCAACAATGTCAATAATGATTGGGGGAGAGGGGGGGAGGGGGGGGGGGGGGGGGGGGGGTGGACATTAACTGAGACTTTGGAAAATGTCATAACAAAATATGGCATCCTTTAAGATGTGAGAACTTTGTTTTGTAGTTCTTTACAACAACATCTCATCAGATAATCTGGATTGTTTACAACTGATGTCATCTGTAAATTCTTTTTTTTTTTAAAGTGTATACCAGCTTTAAACTTCAGCTGAAAGTTATGGTTGTGCATCCACTTCTCGACTTTAGTCTTGTTTCAGAAACTGACTTGTGTGTTCATGTTATTTTGACAGATCTGGCTTTTTTGTATTCAGACGGTTGGTTCCTCAGGCAGGTACGCTCCAACTTTGAAAAAAAAGCTGTTAATTAGTAATTCATTGGGGGCAACAGGTTTATTACACATTCCCCCAAAATGGGGCCCCGTAACATACAAGGACTTCAAGTTCTATTAATGAGTTAATTTGACATCTTAACTGGGAATTTTAATCTCTCTAATTGTGGCTTCCAATTAATTTATCACTAATTCGCTCTCTGTCCATGATTCAGTTCTGAACTTCAGTTTATAAAAACTTTTGCACCTAAAATACCAGTACTCATCTGGTTCTTTGCAGAATATCGCAGTCTGCTTGAAAGAGTTTTGCCAACTCTTCCTCTCAAGTACTTTCATATTCAAGGAGTCACTTATATTCTGTGCCCATTTAAGTGCTAGTCGGCCCCTGCCCCTCCTTCCTGGTACCATGCCTTATTATTTTTTTCCCAATACGCCTTGGTACTAGACACGACCACAATATTTCAGCTTATCATACAATATGCTGTTTATTAGCCACGCTTCCTTGATGGTAATACCTTCTGTGTCCATGGTATTCTCAAAATCTTTACATAGCATTTCAGCTCAAAAGGCCCTATTTTCTTTCTTAAAGATTGGGAGATCATCCACAACTCACATCCGTATGCTGCTACAGAGAAGATGCATGCTCACAACATTTGTTACCATATTTAGAGTCAAATTAACTCTTTCACCTCTTAATATCGTGAAACATGTCTGAAGCATAAAACACATGTTTGGAGCAGAAGACATGTTTGCAGGAGACAGATTTCAGGTCTGACAGCTCAATAAAGAAGAATAGCTAAACAGTATTTGTTGAGAAAAATCAAACAGATCATCATCAGGAACTTTTTCAAAACATTATAAACTTACATCAATCATAACAAAGTCATCTTCCACAGATATCTTCTGGTCTGCAATGATTTCCACAGACGAATAAAGATGATTCTCTTTTTCTTCCTCATCTTGCTGCTTTCCTGTCTTCCTATTATGACATAAAACACCGTCTACATCACTTTCACCATCTCTGCACTGTGCAGACACCAACTGCCGAGCCACAATACTCCTCTTCATCAATCCTTCAAAAGGCAGCCCATGGGCCACACTTCTGTGGTATGATGGCTGCTGGGCTGAGAAAGCTCCTTCAATTGGTTCAGGAAATTCTGGTATGCTGAAAATGCTACAACCAAAATGAAAAAGAAAAATACATGGGTAAACTGGTATGTGTTTGTGTGTATATGGATATGGCTACAAACAGTGTGAGCAAAATATCTCAGGTCAAAAAAGTAAATGACCTTTTCAAAACCAATAGAACGCACTGGGCATTTATTTTCTGTGCTCATCTGAAGATTTAAATGCAGGATGCACATTTACAACATAGTAGCAATATTTGCGTCTTTCGGCCGACACATCCTACTTCTGCAAGTATTTAACCTCCAGGTTAGCCTTCCCGGTTAGCCTTGTGGGACATTGCAGTCTCATGCTGTGAGGTCATCTTTGTTTCCTAATTCACAGATGGTTGCCCCCCCCCCCCCCCCAACCCACCCACCAGGTCTGCCCTAATGTAGCCATGTAATGGTGGTCAGTCCTCACCAGAAGGCAGGGGTAGAACATGAGCATTCCCTGCCATCCAAGGTGGCTTCCATAAATGCAGAGCCAATACACTGTGCTCTGGTACTGGGCTCACCCAAGGAATTGTCATCTCCTGCTCAACCCCACTTCGGAATATTCTGCCTTTCATTCATCAAGGGCTACACATTTAGAAGCCGGCAGGGGGCAGCCTGCAGACCTGCATTTTTGATTCATCATCATCAAGTGCCTTGCCGACTGGCGTGGGCGATCATGCCTCTCCACAACCTGTGAACCGCAACTGTGCGTATCAGTTCATTTGTTAACACCCCCCCCCCCCGCCCACCCCATGCTGCCATGACCAAAGACTATCAAGAATCTTCTTACGCTGTCTTCCTCTGTCTCTCTTTCGAGCAGTCACATGTTCTATTTTCCCTCTTCTCATAACATGACCCAAAAATATGATGACGTTTTTTTCTGATGTTTGTTTCTGGATTTGATTCCAAACCCATACGGAGTACTTTGTTTTTTATGCAACTTAAGCATCAGGCATATGATGCTAGACATATTTTGATAGACAAATCGGCATTTGGTTGGGGAAGTGGTCGACATCACACTGGCCATCAGTACTTCCCAGAACATTCTATGGTACCCATTTTAGGCTGCGACAATCTGGGAGTCAGGGTCAATTCTGAGGGGAAAACCCGCGTCTGTGCTGATCTGAATCCAAGACTTATGGATAAAAATGTTGAATTAAGAATCGACATCATTGCACTCAGGACACTCCCAAAAGCTCTCTGTCCCCATCTCCAGCAGCAAGCAAAGAGTTCCAATTCCAATGGTACCAGTAACTGTTTGATTGTACATCCAGCTTGTCTTTCCCTAGAGTGTTGAGCATCGGCCAGATCCCTTACTAACTCAGCGCCATTCTCCTCAGCATGAAAACCTTGGGGTCAGCAGGAAAGCGTCTAGACCAGTGCTTTCTAAATGTTTCATGGTGACAAACTGAATCCTGAGTGAGTTCCAGGGCCTTAATGTGAGGAGAGCAAAATAGGCCAACTGCCCCCCCCCCCCCCACAATAAGTGAGAAACAAAAGACAACTAATTAGGGGCATTTCCTTTAAAGTCAGAGTGCATCTGCCTAAGACGAGGGACCAACAGTCTGCATAAAAATAAGCTCTGAAACAAGACTAAAGCCCGGAGGAGGATGGACACCCAGAACTTTCTGCCAGATTTACAGCCGGTGAACGTGAAGAAGAAGAGGTGACACACCATTTAGACAATCACAATTTCAAGACACTGTAACTCAGTCTTATAAGAGATACAGATACCTCTTCATACTGTCGTCGACACAATCTGGAAAGTTCTGGTCTAGCCACTAAGCTATTACATCTCCTCTGCCCATATGTATACACACTTAACTCTTTCAGTCCCACTTGGTTTCAAACTAGAAACTCTTGAGGTCGATGCACTCTTGACTTCAAAGGAAACTCTTCTAACTAGTCACTTTCTATGACACGCTTGATTGAGAGGCACTGAGTCTCTTCTTTTCCCTCCTCCATTATGGGGCATTAGAACATTCACAGGGACATAAGAAATTGAAAACTGGGGAATCAAAAACTTTGTTCAAGTGAACAAGCACCATAAAATACTGAACATATGCTTCAGACATGCTTCCTAAGTACAACATAATGGTCCCAGGTCTGGCTGGGTGGCATTCCGGTGGAAGTCCAGCCGTGTGGATCAGTAAAAGATTTCCATCACACTACAACCTTCATAGAGGCCCGTGGTATCATCATCTGAAAACCCATGTGAGGGAGAATGAAAACAGAAAGACGACACTGTTAAGGAGAGATAGAGCACTTAAGATGTGCCCAGACCACTGTGAAGAACAGGCTTAGTAATCCTAGTGTCAGCGCTACCAAATCTCAAGACAACATACATTCCTGCTACCTGTTCTGCAAGACTGGAGCTCCATCAGCAGTTAGCCTGTGTCCAATCTCTGCATCATTATTCTCTAACGAAGATGGGGATGCAGCAAAACAGTATGGGCTTTCAGACCTCAGAGGACTGGAGAAAAACCCAAATAAGTTTGATCAACTCTTATCCCAGGAGATGCTCAAAAGAGAAGGGTCTGTGAAACATGACAAATACACAGAAAAGACTCCACTGTGAAACATGACAAATACACAGAAAAGATCCCACTGTGAAACATGACAAATACACAGAAAAGAGTCCACTGTGAAACATGACAAATACACAGAAAAGACCCCACTGTGAAACATGACAAATACACAGAAAAGACCCCACTGTGAAACATGACAAATACACAGAAAAGACCCCACTGTGAAACATGACAAATACACAGAAAAGACCCCACTGTGAAACATGACAAATACACAGAAAAGACCCCACTGTGAAACATGACAAATACACAGAAAAGATCCCACTGTAAAACATGACAAATATACAGAAAAGACCCCACTGTGAAACATGACAAATACATAGAAAAGATCCCACTGTGAAACATGACAAATACACAGAAAAGACCCCACTGTGAAACATGACAAATACACAGAAAAGACCCCACTATGAAACATGACAAATACACAGAAAAGACCTCACTGTGAAATATGACAAATATACACAACATTATTTTCCCCTTTTGACCAGTGTGGTAAATATTTTGACTTTGCTGTCAGTTACAAATTCCAGTAAGGCGGATACCTTGGCTTTAGGGCTTTGTCAATATAATGACTTTGGCATGTGGATTTTTTAAAATAATGATGTAATTGATAATCTGACTTAAGCTGTTGCTTAGTAACGGATGTCGCTGTATAAAGGCCAAAGATGTAAAGCCGACATATATGGGTCAAGCCAGCATAAAAATCAGCAACTTAGGGCTGAAACAACATGTTGCTGGTTATCCACATTTGAAGACAACATATTAAAAAGGAATAAAATAATGTAAGGATGATTATGGCAGCAACAGACATACAGCAAAGAATGCACATCATAGAGTAGAACAAAACTCCCTTTTCCACACTGGTTAACATAACCCAAATCTCCCCAAATAGAGTAGGTCCCTTTTCATTCACAAGTCTGTTGGGCTCGCTGATTTTCCTGAAGGTTACAGGTGTATACTGCTCAATTGTTTGCTTTCTGTGTTGTCTTGCATTTACATTTTCATTCTGAGAAAGAGAATGCCTGTGACATAGGTTGCGGCACTCTCTAGGGGCGTTGTGTTAGGGCCAGTTGTTCCATGTTTTTTTTAGCGTTAAAAGCACTGGCGTGCTGAAATATACAACACTCGAAATCAACAGTATCCCGGAACAACCCTCTGACCTTGTGCGAAGGTCATGAGGCTCAGGAACTACCAATCAGAAGTGACCTGGTGTGTGTATATAGGTGGGGAGATTAACGTTACATGTTCCTCCATACCTTCAGGCGTCCTTTGCATACAGAACTAGATCTATTATTTTATAGACCAACTGGCACTTAGTGCATGATGCGGCCACTTCCTAGGATCTGGTACCCATTTAAGATTGGGTCGACCAAACAGCTAAGGTAACTTAAAAAAAAAAAAGTATGATTCCATGTGGATTTGAACCAACAACCTTCATAACTGCATGCAAGTATCTAGCCCCTACAGCAACGGGACTCCCAATGCATATAATTAGGGGGGGGGGATGTGACAATAAGAGAGTCTGTGGGTAACAGAGGTAGGAGAAACTAAGAGAGAGGGTGTTAGGTTGGTATCATGACATGCAAGAAACTGCTGTATCATAAAAATGACTGACAATACTTATTTTTTCTCAGATTTCACCAGTTATAAATTCTGGCAGAAAGTTCTGACTGTTAAGCCAGTATCCTCCATCTTTTTTTTCTTGTCAGCATGTAAGCCGACATAGCTCAGGTTGCCCTAAGGAGTGACTTCAAGGTGACACTTGCACAGGATTCAACTAACATGGCTGCACATCCTTTTTACTGAAATAGCTAATTTGCATGCAGACTGTTGGTTCCTTGACTCTCAGGCAGATGCACCCTGACTTCCAAAGAAACATTAGTTGTCTTTTATGACATGCTTGTTAGTGGCTTAGGTCTTGCGAATACGCTTTATAATGCCAGGGTCAATCCCAGCTGCGGACTATCTGTTTTTTGTTGATTTTGACAGTGGTACTGAGAGCTGACCATTGAGAAAGCAATGGCAAACTACTGCCTAGAAAAACCACTACAGCCAAAAATGCTGGTGTTGGTCCTGCAATGTAAAGGATATACAACTAACTTTGTTAGGTGGCTAGTGGCTCTATTCCCCCCACCCCCTCTCTAACACTGAGGCCCCGGAACCAACACAGGAAACTGACAGTACTTAAGACAGAATTCTGCGGACAGATACAATAGCCAACAAATGCCACCATACCTTCTGTTCAGCAGTGAACACGGTTTTGGATCAGAGACCATTGCAGCAGGTCTGTACTCATTCACAAAATAGTTGTCTGTAACCTCAATGGCAGCTGTAGCTGACGCTGACATCTCTGCAGACAGCAGAAGCTTCGTGCGGTACGAGCAGCTGACTGACAGCAGACCAAAAGCTGTTGGTACGGCACCAGCACGCACTGTCTTGTAACCGTCTCCCAACAAATGGGTCTGTGAAAGCAAGAGTTTCACTGGAACTAAAATATATAACGATCAATACACTATGGTGTCTAGTGAACTCTTATCAAGTTGATTTTTTTTCCCCTTAGCCTCTTCTGTTTTCATTCTTCCCATACAAAGTCAATGAACACATTTACAGTAAAACCTCATTATCACAAATTTCAAGGGACTGAAATCAAGTCCCTGTTTAAAAAATTTTTTTTGCTAATCGGGGAATAATAACTAAAATGCATCCCTAGTGTAACCAAAATTGTGGTCATGCTAATACAAATAGGTCTGCGGAAAGAGTTTGATTTCAAATAAAACACTGGTCAACTTTTGGGAAACATTAAATTAAATACTTCTTCTCCAGCAGATTTTCTCTCCTGTATCTTTCTCTTTGTTTTTTTTCCTTCTCATGATGCCTAAGCAGTTCACTAGCCCCTTTCTATCTTTCCAGATTATACTGATATATATGATACAGCATATTTATCCCAACACTGTGCTACCAGTGCCAGACTATGAACCAGTTGTAGCATCTGCCGTCATTTTCAGGAATTTGATTCAAGATCAATCATCCATTAGGTGCAGAGGTCCTCCTTCATTCGTCTTCTCCAACAGGAGCCACAGTACTCAACAAATTCACGATTAGCCCTTTGTAGACTTCATCATTAAGGGTTTAATTTTGCAGCTAAAGTTTTCACCTCTCTTGCTTGATGGATTACAATGTAAACATTCTCTTCTTCTGTTATAGGCCCTTGTCTTCTCCTCTCTTCTTCTTCTTAGCATCCACCGGCTGCGACACTTCTGGGTTTTGGTCTTGTTCCAGAACTTGAGTTATCCTTGCACATTCGCACACAGGTATGGCTTATGTGTATGGTTCCTTGTCTCTCAGGCAGATGCAAAGGCTAGACAGATGTGTGACCAGAGAGGGTCTGGACAGCTCACTAAACTTAAAGGAGAGGCTAGACACATAACCAGTCTGCGACCGGCATTAGTATTGGAATTATGTGCTGGCTGCTGAAGATGGCGACAGAGCGCATATGGGAATGTCCTGAGTGCTGTGATGTCATTTCTTGACTAAACTCAACTCAAGCAGATGCTGTGATGTCAATTCTTGACTAAACTCAACTCAAGCAGATGCACTCTGACGTTGAAGGAAACACCTCTAATTAATTGCCTGTTAAAGCATGCTTGTAGGTCTATTCCCCCCCCCCCCCCCATGGGGCCCCTAAACCCACACAGGGAGATCAGTATTCCAATAGGCAAGGGTAACAACCCCATGCTCCCTAGCTATAACCTCATAAGGTAAACAGAGCATCTGGAATCTGCTCCTGTTGGTCTGACATCCAAAACATGGCATACAGAGTCAATGTGTGGTCAAATCCTCAGACAGTGAACTCAGAAGGAGTCTGCTTGACCACTATCATCATTTATCCCGTTTAAAATCATAAGTCTGCTAACTATACTGTAATAGTTATTGAAACTTGCACACCAGTTATGTTTACCAACCTGAGGTGTGCCCATATAGAATCGGTAATTCAGCCAGTATCCTCCATCTTTATTTCTGGCCAGCCTGTAAGCCGGCATTGCTCTTGTTGCACTAAGAAGTGACTTCAAGGTGACACCTGAACAATGATTCAACTTAAAACAATAAAGATCTTCACATGCCATGCTAAAGTTAAAGTTAAGGCCAGGAGCACTTTCATTGCATCTGGTTTTATCTCATATGGCTTAGTATCTCTCCGCAGTAGTTAGCCACTTGTTGATAGTGTCGCACAAAGAATGAACTAAACAGCTATGGAGAGGATAAAGTTAAAATCTGAACAGTTGGAAACAAACCCATGACCTTCAAAACACTGTAGGCAAATGGTAAACTTTAGTCTTGTGCCAAAACTTAAGCTCTGACTGCACATCTGTTTTACAGATCTGGCTTATGTGAATGCAGATTACTGGTCCCTTGCCTCTCACGCAGTTGCACTCGAGCTTACTTTGTAAGCTGACATCTATATGCAAGTAGCCACATTTATACATGGTGCAACTTAAGAGGGGAAGAAGGCCAGACCCCCCCACCAAGCATATCATAAAAGGAGACTAATCAGGGTTGTCTCCTTCAAAGCAGATCATCCTCTTGATAAATGAGGAATCAATAGTAGTTCACTGACACCTTTCTGTCTTTCCAGATGATAATGTTACATAGAGAGGTATGGAAATCACAGCCCACTGCAATGGTGAGCATGACTAACAAGACCTACACGCGTTAAATCTTCCAAAATTATAGAGTACAGAATTTCGGGACCACTGTTTCTATCGTAAATATTTTAATGAACTTCTCAGACGCCCAGCTCTCAACTTATCTGCAATCATTTTCTTCTTTATTCATTTTCCATTTCTGGTTTCCATCCTTGGTGCAGTACAGTCCATGGCATACTGTTCCCATGAATCCACATCAATTCTTGTATCATTAATGTCCCACTTGCACCCATCTTTATATCGTAGTCGAGGACAAACTCAACATCTTCTATACATAGAATTCACTACAGAGGATGTCCTTAGTGACTTGACCATCCCCCAAATATCTCCTAGCCATCTGAACCTCTGAATATTGAGAACTCAGAAAACTTGTGTGATACCTGTTCTTCCCAATATCTCAGTGTTTGAGATCCTGACTTGCCAGTTAATGCCAAGTATTCTTCTTAGGCATTGCATATGAAAGCTATTTAGCCAAATAAGTTGACTAAGTTTGTAGAGAATAAAGGTGCTGAGAAAATAAGCTTGATTTTTGTTAATGTTAATTGTTGCTACTGTTTACCTTTCCTATTGATTTCTTGGTACAGTGATAGTTCGTTATTGAATGAGAGTAAGATATGTATAGAAGGAATAAAGAGTCTGCACTGAGATAAGCAAAGTATGTAAAATAAATGTGCAAGCAAATCTGGAGCAAGACCAAAGTCCACAAGCGGAGGAACAACCAGAATTTTATGCCTGAGTTTACAGCGGGTGAATAAAAAGAAGGAGATTATGACACATATCTCTATATGTCATCTGACCAGTGTTCAGGATTTTGAAATTGAAGTTATAGATAAAGTACTCAAGTTTTCATGAATTCTGTTGCCTTTTGAAAAGTATGGTAGAGAACCATTGTTTTGGATCCTAGTATCACAGGGGTATAGCAAAGAAAGAAATTGGATATTAACCCTTTCACCCTGGTAACTTAGAATAACAGAAAGAAACAAGTCAAGCATCCGTACATTTCATTTTTCAGAAAATCCTAGGAAAAAAACGACCTCAGAAAAAACAATTTACACACGTCACAGAAAAGAAAACCACTACACATGAACAAATACCAGAGTAAGGAAGTAATCGATAAAAACAAATGCAGCATATAATCAAACTGGCTTACATCTCATAAGGTATTGGTGGGGGGGGGGGGGGGGGGCTGTAAACTAATTACATACAGCACGACAACTGTGACTTGGTTGGACCTGATAAACCCAGAGGACAGATAGAAAAAGAAATCAAAATTTCTTGAAAGAAATTATTTTATGAAAAACATTGATAACCCTCATAAGGAGACACTTTGCATCCTTTGGTCACATTATGAGAGGAGAAAAATACAGTTCATCATATCATCAGGAAAGAGGCAGAGGAAGACCATCAGGCAAGATACTGCATATTTTTTGCATCATCGCAGGGATGATATATATATATAGATATGTGTACACACACACACACACACACACATATATATATATATATATATATATACATATCTATAAAAATATATATATATATTCATTTCTATTTTTAAAATATATATATATATATATATATATATATATATATATATATATATATATATATATATATATATATATATATATATATATATACACACACACATATCTATAAATATATACATATCTAAATTTTTGTATACATATATGTACACACACACATCATCATGTAGCAGGTCCTTTGCAGAACGTCGCTCTCATCACAGTCTGCCTGAAAGAAACTCGGTCTCTCGCCAGTTCTCCCGCCTCACGAACTTTCACACTCAAGGAGTCAATTATATCCTGTGCTCATCTTCGTGTCGGTCGGCCCCTGCCCCTCCTTCCTGGTACCACGCCTTCTGCTATAATTTTTTCCAAGCCGTCGTGGCACTTGATATGACCAAAATATTTCAGCTTTCGAGAAAGGATGCTGTTTATTAGCCAATCTTCCTTGATGTTCAGATCTTTTAAGATGTCAATATTTCTCATCTTGTACACACACACACACACACACACATATATATTAACAGTTTATATATTATATACAGTATTTATATTATTATACAGTATTATATATATATATATATATATATATATATATATATATATATATATATATATATATATATATATATATATATATATATAATGTATATAAAATAATTTTAAAACAGACTGAAAGTACACAAGCCAGAAGGTTGTTGATAGACACAACTACCAAAACCAAGCTGCACAGACTTAAAGAAAAACTAAAACGTTTGGGAAAAAAAAAATCCGCTCACTCATTCGTGTGAATATATGCTGTATTCTGTTTGCAACCATGTCCAAGCATTTCTGGTTAAAGCTCAGTTCCCATGTTTCAAGGAACATCTGGTCTCTATCATTTGTCACCAGGAAAATCTCTGTGCAAAGACTCCGGTCTCGGACAGGAAAAGATTTGACCCCATCCAGTGTTTTCCTTATGTGTTCCTCAATGCACTGGTTATCCGGGATTGATATGCAGAACTGTAGGAGGAAACGTACAGAAAACTTACAGATTAGCAGAGGATTCTGACACAGCTTATTAACAAATCATCATCAGCTTAAACCATTCATATGTTGAATGCTGAATTAGGAATCAACATCACAGCACTTAGGACACTGCCACAAGCGCTCCAACCCTCCAACTTTAGCAGCAAGTGAAGAGTTCCAAGTCTGATGGTACCAGTAACAGTCTGATTGTATATCCATCTTGCCTTTCCCTTGAGTACTAAGCATCGGCCAGATCAACTCCCTTGAGTACTAAGCATCGGCCAAATCCCCTCCCTTGAGTACTAAGCATCGGCCAGATCCCCTGGTAACTCTTTGTATTCAGATTTTAAGTACTTGGATCCCCTCCTCTGTAAATACACTAGTACAAGAATATTCCTCTGGAGGCCCGCGGGTCAAATTTGGCCTGTGCCGGCATCACAAGTGGCCCGCAAATCATTGCCAGCTGTACTGTATCAATGATCCTTCTATGCTGGGGCTTGGGTGTATGGCATGTGACGTTCGCCTTTTTAAAATTTTGGCCTCTTGGTAAACTTAACTGAATGGCCCTACTTTAGCGTGTAGCAAATGATGACATCACTCTGTTCTGGCTTACTATTCCTCTTTAGCCTCCTGGACGAGACCCAGTGTAATGTTTCTCCACATACTGGGTCTCACTGGTACTACAAAGTTGTTTAGAGTTCACAGATCAGATGAGACAGATCTTCTTCCCAATCAACTGCCGAATTTCTCCCCACCACAGTCGACACCAGTTGATAACAATTTCAAGTCTATTTATCCTAAGACATGAGCCACAAGAATGAGTCTAACAGTCTACAGACAATCTACAGCAGGTTCCATGTGTTCGCAATTTGAATCATATAGCCAAGCCTTAAACGTTATTCGCTGACATGCACACAGTTAGCACTCAGCAGCACGCATCAGTTTCATCTTTCTCGCAGCCTTCTTTTAATGCAGATAATCCACTTTCACTCCTTCTAGCTCTAGGGTCCTGTCACAGAATGCTTCACCATTCAGCTCTTCTCCCAGTTAGTCTGTGTTCCCAAGTAAATTTACACAATCACATGTTTTCACTCTCTCGTGCTGACTCATGTCTTACAACATAGGATTTCCCTGATTCTACCAACAATCAAACCACTTACATTAATCTCATATTTAGTATCACTACAAGTCTCATATCTATCTCATATCTCACTGCTGTTTTAGGATACTGACACAAAGCCCAGTTACAATGCAATTCAATAAAATTGTTCTTAAAACCTTGGTTAAACGCTTCCAGCCCACCTAATAAATAAAATAATTTTATTCAGTGTAACATACATAATTCTTCTTCTTCTTCTTCTTCAGCATTCCGAGCCCTTGAGGTTCATTGCTGCAGATATCACTCGCCTCCATTCATCTCTTTGTTTGGCCTTCTCTTTTGAGTTGGTGACACCAACTGTTTGCAGATCTGTCTGGGCATTATCTCTCCATTTTCTTCTTGGTCTGCCTCGTGGTCTACGACCATTCCTCTCCCTTGTATATAAAGTTTTTACTTCTCCATCATCTGACATTCTTTTAATATGTCACAACCATTTCAGTCTATCAGCTCTCATGATGCTAGTCATCAGTAGTGATTTAAACAGATTATGAATTTCATTGTGGCTTCTCACTCTCTATTCCCCACTTTTTGCATTTTTGATGGGTTTGAATATTCGTTGTAAGACTGTTTTCGAAAACCTGTAATAAGGCTTCATCTCTGTTAGTTGTGCTCCAAGTTTTAGAGCCATCTAAAACGAATTCTTTTATCAACGTTCTAAATATTTTGATCTTTGTGTTGCGAGACAGACACTTTGACTTTAGCAGATGTTGAAGAGCATAGTATACTTAATTTCCAGATTGTATTTCTTCTCTCAGCATGTTGGAGCAGTTGAAGTTTGCACCCAAGTACTTATGTGTCTGTTCGATTTTCATATTATCGACTTGTATGTGGCCGGAGTTTATATTCTTTCCCTCCTAGTTAGTATTCATACAAAATAGTAAACATTTAAGAACGGTTAATGTTTTGCATCCTTCAGTCAGTCTGTGGTAACTCGTAAATTGTCACTGACAGTTTAGTTAAAGCATGAATCCCGCATTAGCTTTGAACACAGGCCGTGTATGCAGAAGTGGGTGTAAGGTAACCACTATTCGTATTTGGCCTGACCGCAACTATTTGGCCAAATACCGAATAGCTGTTAGGTCCACTATTCAGCCCCAAAGCGAATAAAAAGTGAATGTTTGGTACAGCTCTACTTTCTACCGCAAAGTGTATGTACTTTCAATTAGTAAAAACTGAGTCTCACTGAGTTAAAATATCACAATGCTAAGATAGAAAGAGTTAAACTTAAAGTAATAATATTACTAATAATTACAACAAAATAGTTATTAAAAGTAAACATGAATGATAGTTACTGATTGTACTGAATGGGACAGAGACGGGGAAGGAAAGGTGTTAAGACATGTTAACAATGTACTGTACTTACTGGAGACTACAGTAAACTAATACTAATAAACGTATACTGAGTTGCCTGGTAATCACAGACTGGAGAAAGCTTACATTACTTTAGCTAAATTCAAATAATTCATTCGTTTGTCAATTTGATCGTTACAGTAGTTACACTTATTAACAGGGTTCTCCTTGCAATAACGGTCGCTACTTGGACGGGGACGGCCACTTAGTCGAAGTTCAGTCCCCTGGCTGTTGTGCAATTACGGAGTGGACAAGGCACGAATCACAAAACACAGTGAGTTCAGCATGGCGTCTAGACCACGCGCTGCGACTCACATTAGCCAAACCCTAACCGAAACCGTAACCCTAATTATGTCATTTGTGTCGTTCCCTCTTTTCCACTCCGTAATTGCACTGCTGCCAGGGGACTGAACTCCGACTAAGCGGCCGTCGCCGTCCAACTAGCGACCTTTATTGCAAGGAGAGCCATTTGATTAACAGTCTTATTTAAATTGTTAAAATTATGTACTCACATAATCCGACGTTGACGAGTCCCTAGTGGACCGAACAGACTGATTGTCGATCCGGGATTGAACGACGATTTGTAAGCATTTATACGTAAAGTTTTTAAACAGTCTTTCAACATTATCGTCTTTCACCCCACTGCCTTCAAAACTGAAGACACTGTTCAAACCACTAGTCGCCATGTTCTTCATCAATCCAGAGCCTGGCAGAACTTTAAGTTCGTTTTGCGTTTCGTTTCACTTCACTTCACAAAGTGTCAATGAAGGGTCTCACTTCAGTTTGCACGCAGTGTACAAAGATTACATTGGTCAAAGACAATTAGAACACAGTGAAAGTGAGCAGTTATGGCAGTATATAAACATAACAAAGAAAGTCTGAAAAACAAATTATTCGCTCAAATTCCCAACTGCCACAATTCACAATGTTTTATTGTTTATGTTTGTCTCGGAAGTTTGTAGAAATGTTTCTGGAGCAGACATGCGCATTTGAAGAATTAGACCGTTTCCGGGGTTATTAGAATAGGCATTAATCATCACAAGACGATGGAGAGATAATATCCATACAGACCTGAAAACATTTGGTGTCACCAACTGGAAAGAGAAGGCCAACCAGAGAGATGGAGAAAACTGTATACACGAGGGAGATGAATGGTCGTAGACCACGAGGCAGACCAAGAAGACGATAGAGAGATAATATCCAGACAGACCTGCAAACACTTCGTGTCACCAACTGGAAAGAGAAGGCCAGCCAGAGAGATGAATGGAGGCAGGTGATATCTGCAGCAATGAACCTCAAGGGCTCGGAATGTTGAAGAAGAGAAGAAGAAGATTAATCATTATCATGATAAACCTCTTCTATCGTTAAGCAACGAGGGAATGAACAATATGCGATCCAGTGTTGGCACTAGCTATTGTCATGCCGTGAAGGCGTGAAGTGTCTTTAATGTCCATATTTTTCGTGGTCTTCCCGTTGTTCTTGTAGCCTCTGCTAGGATGCAGTGCTTGTGATGGTATTTGGCGTTTCTGCATTCTAACGAGATGACCGCGCCACTTGGAGAATTCTTCTTCTTCAGCATTCCGAACCCTTGAGGTTCATTGCTGCAGATATCACCCGCCTCCATTCATCTCTCTGTTTGGCCTTCTCTTTCTAGTTGGTGACACCAAGTGTTTACAGGTCTGGATATTATCTCTCCATCGTCTTCTTGGTCTGCCTCGCGGTCTACGACCATTCATCTCCCTTGTGTATACAGTTTTTACTTCTGTGTTATTTGACATTCTCTCAATTTGCCTCATCCATTTCAGTTTATTAGCTCTCATGATGCCAGTCATCATTTTTGGCATTGGTCAGCGACCCAAGGGATAGGACGTATTTTCCTTGCTCTCATCAATCCCGATTTTTGTTTCGCCCTTTTGTATCGGAGATCTGAGGATAATTTTCATATCACTGTGCCCGTTGTTCCTACGGGCTTACTATGAAATAGTTTTTTTTGTGTGACTTTATAGATCAATGTTCGTTAAAAGTTGAAAATAGTGTATTATAAAAGGTTTTCTGCAACGGATGCTTCTTTTGCCAACGGGGCACAAATAGGCCCGATTGTGTTTCACCTGGCCTTATGGATTTATGGCATTTTAGACAATAACTGTCGTGTGGGCGTACACACGGTGGCATACAACCGGGCTGGTAAAGCACTGCCACGCCAACATATAATGCCGTTCACAATTTAATTAAACACTTTCTCCTGGTAGGTGGGACTCAATAGCTGGGGACAGCAGACCCACCTATGAGAAGGATACTCTGAAACTAAACTACCACTGCCCGGTGGTCAGGCCTTGGTTGGTTACGGGTTAAGGAAGCACATCGTGAAATAAATCACGTTGAAGACAGAGACTCCAGGTCGAAAGGCACTGATAGTTTGAGAGTATATTTTCCCACAAACATGACGTCACTCACATCTTCTTGAATGTCAGAAAATCCCAGCAGGAATGAAGACTCTTTAACACTTTAGTGAAACCATATCATGGTGAGCCATACCTTAAAAGTGGCATGTGTACAACGCCACCACTCGCAAATCTAGAAGAAAAGCCCAGATTAATATATTTATCAGAGGGACAAGATGAACGAAGAAGACGTGTACACTCTGAGGATCTTACAATGGAATTCAGAGGGAGCCCACAACATAAAAGCTAGACTTACAAAACATCTTTCCGAAGGGAATATTCTTCTTCTTTTTTTTTCTTCACGTTCACCAGCTGTAAACTCTGGCGAAAGGTTCTGGTTGCTCGTCCACTACTGAACTGCAGTCCTGCTCCAGAACCTGAGTGTTGCATGTGCATCAGTTTTACAGATCTCATTCTCTTGAATACAGACTGTTGGTTCCTTGCCTCTCCGGCAGATGCACTCCGACTTCAAAGGAAGCTTCCCAATTAGTCGACTCTTACGACATGCTTTTGGGGAGGCAGTGGGTCTATTCTTGTTTTCCCCACAATGGGGCCCCGGAACCCACACGGGGGAGGAAGGGAATATTGACATTGCCTGTATACAGGAGGCGAACCTGTCAGATAAGCACAGCTTCTGTATTAGAAGCTTTCAGTGCTTCAGGCAGGACAGAGGAAACGGTCCCAAGGGAGGAGTCCTCATCCTAGTAAAGTACAAAATCCCAGCAGCTACTCTTACAGTGAACACAGGGCAGGAGTCTTGAGATCAAGGGTGTCAGGCTCGACGTTGCAGGCAAGGAAACTGTATTATGCGATTGCTACTGCCCTTCAAGCAAAGAACTCTCGTTATACAACACGAGAATCCCAGATAAAAATTGCATCATTCTAGGAGGTTTAACAGCTGCCCTCCAAGCTGGGGATATAGACAGCTCAACCAGAGAGGAGAAGAAGTGGAGGACTGGCAGACATTGATTAAACATTTTTTAATTTCAATGTTTTAAAAATGTTCGTATGTTGCCACATTTGTTCCTATCGTAAGTCACATTAATAAAAACTTAAGCCCCCAGTGAGGATCGAACTCACGACCCCTGGTTTACAAGACCAGTGCTCTATCCACTGAGCTATGGAGGCATATACTTTCGAAAGCTCATTAAAACCACTTGAACAGATTTTAATCTTTTCAAAATGGTAAATCCTGCAGTTAAATCAGGTCGCTACCACACAGGTTAATTGTTAAGGGGACCCCCCCCCCCCCCGCTCTTTTCCTATTTATCTATCTCCTGCACTGTTTGTCCAATAAAACAACCATCTTTGATATTATATTTCCCTTTGTATCGCTGCATACGCTTTGTTCTCCTCTTTTCAGCTTGTTATATTTACTATCATAGTCATAGTAATCGATAGTCAGGAATTTTTTCAGGCTGTTCGCAACACCGGCACCCTTTTAAGTATCTTTTTTTTTTTAGTAGTACAGTGTAATAGACACTCAAAGGTTAGTTCCAGCGCCTTTTTATCAGACATTATGCGGTATTGGAACCCCCCCCCCCCCACGCCTCTCTATCTCTCCCCGTATATATATATATATATATATATATATATATATATATATATATATATATACCTTAAGTGTATGTGTGTATATACATAAACATTTGTATGTAAGCAAATACGTACACATGTGTGCACAACTATCTATATATATATATAGCTATGCAGGTAAGCGTCTGGCCTCTACGTCACAGTGGCATCCTTAAGTGTGTGTGTGTATATACATAAACATTTGCCACTGTGACGTAGCGGCCAGACGCTTACTTGCAGAGCTGATGCGATCAAAGGAGACAGACCCAAATGCTGACCCGACTGGCGACTTAGTCGTCTACGGGAAAACCAGGTCACCGCTGATATGGGACGAAAGCTGACTTATTGATATTCAACCCCACTAGGACATCACACTGAGCGATAAATTTTGTAAGATTACCAAGAAGATTACACTGAGCGATAAACTTGGTAAGATTACCAAGAAGATCACACTGAGCGATAAACTTTGTAAGATTACCAAGAAGATTACACTGAGCGATAAACTTGGTAAGATTACCAAGAAGATCACACTGAGCGATAAACTTTGTAAGATTACCAAGAAGATTACACTGAGCGATAAACTTGGTAAGATTACCAATAAGATTACACTGAGCGATAAACACAAAGTGCCAAAATTCGGATGAGGATTATCCGGTGACAGATCGCAGAAACACGTTCAACAAGTGGATTGGGGAAACATTAGGGCACCTGGCAACAGCCGAAGTGGGAGCTTCAAAATAATGAACAATTGCGTCCGATATGGGGACGGAATGCATTGGGGCAAGAGCAAAGCTCATCTTTATTTTTTATATATGTGGCAAAATAACTAGACAGTTAAGAAAATGATGACATAGACTAGCAAATTAACAATTTTATTTAAAGATAACGTAATTTCGGCGCTCCTTTGATTCATTCCCCAAAATGGCGGCATGCCACATTCTGGCCATAAAATATCAAAAAATATCCGAACGACGGTGTTCGCGTAAATCTAAAATACGGACTATCTGCCAAGGAACAAATCGCGGCAAAACTAGGATAACTTGACAATCAATGTCAACATTTGCACACGGTACTAGTAGCAGACGATAAATACCGACCGTTGACAACAATTTCGAGCGTTTCTGCAGAGACGATACTAGCAGACGATATTAGCGACCGTTGACCAATTTCGAGACATTACAGACGATGAACTCAGATGAGCAATACTGTGTTCTTCCGATTGGAGGATTTAGCAGCGGTAGATGTCAGACTTGTCGGCATGCGCCAAACACGATTAAACTTATCGCCGAGCGTATCCCCCGCGCTAGGTGCCTGGGACTCACGAGAACAGTAATTGGAGGAAGTTGCAGGAGATGTGGTAGCTGCCGCTCGTGAGTCCCAGCCATCTAGTTTAGTCCCCATCCCGCGGGCGCGGTGCGGGGGATACGCTTGGCGGTGAGGCACACTCGCAGAAGCAGGTCGGCAAGTAACGTATCGCCGAGACCCTGTCAGAGCCATTTGTTTCGTTATCCGGAGCCGGCACATATATTTTTAATAGAACTGACCCGCATTCGGATTTTTTGTTGTTGATATTTTATGGCCAGAAATTGGCTAATTTAGCTTCCTTTTGAACGCCATCATATTAAAGCCGCCATTTTGGGAAACGATTCAAAGAAGAGCCAAAATTTCAA